TGAGTTCCATAAATTATATAAATACAAATCTTCTGTAATAACGTGACAGATTCCAGTTCAAACAATTCCTCTTACGTGCTTTTGTGAAACTGTCCAGGGCTTCCATGACAGCTCTTTTAGTAGAATCTGTGTTTACATCCAAACTGCTTAAGTAGATTTTCATCTGAAACAAACAACCATTATAATTATTACCAGTTTAATGCTGTTTTTCACAACTATAAGTTTCAAGAAAATGGAAAGGACTCATTTATGTACAGTAAATCAGCAAGTGGTGTACAGTTAGTTTATCATCCCATGTCAATTGCATATCTTACATTTTCCATGCTTTCCTTAAGCTGTGACAATTCACTCAAGAGATTCTCACTAAAAGACACGGGGGAAAAAAACACGTTACTCCAGTAATGCGCACTGCCAAGTGTCAGTTTCTTTATTAATGCTAAAGAAGATCCTTCACCTTTCAGCCTTCTCTTTTGCTTTTATTTTTTCCTCCTCAAACTGCTCCAGGATTCCTTTGTTCATACTGCACATGAAATTTGGCATCTTGGCTTTGTCCTTTGAATCACCATTGAACAGGTAGGGCTTGGTTTGGAAGTTCATTGAAACTTTGGGCTCATTTACCTGAGAATCAAAATCATTTTCCACCCTCATACTGGTAGCCAGGGGAAAATACAGGGGGTTTCAGGACTTAAGCATGATTAGGATATGCCACAAAAGGGATTCAGGACAACATAGCACAGCTGGGATATGCCGAAGAAGGGACTTGGGACAAGTGAAGCACAGCTGGGACATGCCACAGAGGAGATTCAGGATAGAGAAGTATGGCTGGGATATGCCATAGAATAGGTTAGGGCAGTGAAGCATAGCTGGGATATTCCCAAAAAAGGATTCAAGGCAACAAAGCACAGCTGGGATAAGCCACAGAAGGAATTCAGGGGAGTGAGACACACCTGGGATATGTCACAGAAGGGATCAGGATAACGAAGCACAGCTGGGATATGCCAAAGAAGGGATTCAGGGCAGTGAAGCATAGCTGAGTTATGCCACAGAAGGGCTTCGGGACTGTGAAGCACAGCCGAAATGTGCCACAAAGGGGATTCAGGGAAGTGAAGCACCACTAGGATATACCACAGAGAGGATTCAGGGCAGTGAATCACCACTGGGAAATATAACAGACAGGATTCAGGGAAGCAAAGCACTGTTGGGATATATCACAGAGAGGATTCGAGGAAATGTAGAACCACTGAGATATACCACAGATGGTATTCAGGGAAGTGAAGCAACACTGGGATATACCACAGAGGGGATTCAGGGCAGTGATGCACAGCTGGGGTATGTCACAGAGCACAAGGGCTTCAGGACTGTAAAGTGCAGTTGGGATATGCCAGAGAGCAGAGGGGCTTCTGGCTTCAGAAAGTGTAGTTAAGCATACAAAAGGTACGGACGGCAATGTACCTCCTGTGAGTTTTGCTGGGAGTTCTTGGAATGCAGACTCATTTCTTGGGAATGACCAAGTTGATCTGACCAGTACTGAGACCCTAAGAGAAACTGGGAGTCTGTCAGGCTGGAGTAATCACTGGTGGCACCACTTCGGCCAGAGGATTTACTCCCTCTGTGAAATGTATTTTTACAGTAATGACTGACTATGCATAGATCAACATTAGGCATACACTCTAATATTACAAAAATTAGCATTAATAGTTGGTTAAGTCAGTATTTCATTATATCATCCATTATGAAGTGCATTTAATTAATTGATTGTAGAAAATGGCATATTTCCTCGTCGGAACATTTTCCATTACAATCATTTATGGCTGATTGAACATACAGTAACGCTGACAATGTTGCTAATCTATCACGTACTCACCCATTTGATATACTGACAGTTTCTTTCATTATCCAACCGTTGAGATTCATGTTTCAATTAGTTTCTGCAAGATAAACACGGTCGTTTAATTTTCTGAGTGAATAATCTCTAACGTTTGGCCGAATATGATCGATTATGTAAACAGTAAACATTCGCTCATTGTGACAAAGACACAGACGCCAGTATGGCAACAGCACCTGTGCAGAACAGCATAATTACCGACCTTTAAACAAACCTAAGTTAAGTCGCCCATCAAGCTAGGATAGCAAGAAAAGTTAGTAAACTATCTATCAAACCTATCAATCAAAAGCACATTATTGTCAACAACTACCACCACCACTAAACTAAGTAGCGAAGTTATCCGTCGTTCATTTAAGATTATTAACGATAGTTGATCCTATTAAAGTAACGACAGTTTTAACGATACCTAAATATTTTCGTTAGTTTCTTCTCATCAGCTTGGTTTAGCTAGCAAGCTTTTACTGGTTTGATGGTCACTTAATAAGCTGTGAGTAAATGTAAGCAGACGTTAAAAGGCATCCCCTGACACGTGCTGGCAGAAGAACCACGCGAACCGCCTGGTCCTTCACCTGCGCACGCGGTCCGAACCATTGGCTGTATAAAACGGTCCGAACACTGCAAAAAACAAGGGGAAAGAGCGTTTATTTTAAGATAACCTTTGCAAGCATTTTTTTTTTAACTTTTATTTTTTAGAGATATACCGTCGTAGGTCTGTGCTTATACTGCCCGGCATGAAAAAGTCTTACACTGTAATATTTTGTTGGACCGCATTATGCTTTGATTATGGTACGCATTCGCCGTCGCGTGGTCTGGACTCTGGTGGCTAATCCTTGCGTGAAAATGATGCCTCATGCCCGAACCACTCTTTTTTAATTGTAGCTTGATAAATCGTAGCATTGTCATCTTGGATTATGCCTGTGCCACCAGGGAAGACAAAAATCCATTGATTTTAAAACCTGGTCTTTCAGCACATTCAGGTTGTCAGTTGACCTCATTTTTTGCCTCATATCATGCCTGAACTTAGACTTGACCAACCGAAACAACCCCAGATCATAACACTGCCTCCTGAGGCTTTTACGGTAGGCACTAGGAATGATTGGTGCTTCACTCTGTCTGCCTCTCTTCTTACCCTGATGCGCCCATCACTCTGGAACAGGGTAAATGGGGATTTATCAGTCCACATAACCTTTTTCCATTGCTCCAGAGTGCAATCTTTATGCTCCCTGGCAAATTGAAGCATTTTCTCCAATTTGCCCCTCTTATAAGTGGTTTTCTTGGGGCGACTCAGCTCTTCAGTCCCAATCCTTTGAATTCTCTTCGATTTGTGTACGTGGAAATGCTCTTTCACCGTTAAACATAGCCGTGAGTTCTACTGTTGATTTTTTTGTCCATTTCATTTCTCCAGACGTTTAAATGATCTCTGATCACGATCATTCAAGATTTTTTCCGACCACATTTCTCCCTCAAAGGTGATGGTTCACCAGCAGCCTTTCAGGTTTTAATAATGCATTGGACAGTTGTTAACCCAATTTTAGTAGTTTCAGCAATCTCCTTAGTTGTTTTCTTTGCTTGATGCAGGCCAATAACTTGGTCCTTCTGAAATAGAGTAACATCTTGTCCACGACTACAGGATATGTCTTTCAATATGGAAGTCAGTGGAGAAACGTACCTGAAATTACAACCCCAATTCCGAAAGAGTTGGGACAAAGTGTAAATTGTGAATAAAATCAAAACGCAATGACTTTCAAATCACACCAGCCAGTATTTTTTTCACAAAAGAACAGAGATAACATAGCAAATGTTGAAACTGAGAAATTTTACAATTTTATCCACAAAATGAGCTTATTTCAAATTTGATGGCTGCTACAGGTCTCAAAAAAGTTGGGACAGAGGCCTGTTTACCATGGTGCAGCATCCCCTTTTTTTTATCATAGAGTGGAGGCGTCTGGGCATTGAGGAGACAAGTTTCTTGAGTTTAGCCATTGGAAATTGATCCCACTGTTGTTTAATACAGGCTTTCAGTTGCTGGAGAGTTTTGGGTCTCCTTTGACGGACTTTTTGTTTAATTATGCGCCAAATGTTCTCAATTGGTGAAAGATCAGGACTGCAGGCAGGCCAGTTCAGCACACGGACTCTGAGATACTCAGCCTCTGTAAGACATCCCTTTTATAGCCAATCACGTTACACACCTGATGCCAGTTAACTTAATTACTTGCTAAATGTTCTTTCGGCTGATTCACTTATATATTAATTGGTTTTTCAGCCCTTTTTTGCCTGTGTCCCAACTTTTTTGGGACCTGTTGCAGCCAGAAAATTTGAAATAAGCTCATTTTGTGCAGAAAAATGTAAAATGTCTCAATTTCAACGTTTGAGATCTTATCTATGTTCTATTGTAAATAATATATTGGCTCATGTGATCTGAAAGTCATTGCATTTTTATTTTATTCACAATTTACACTTCGTCCCAACTATTTCGGAATTGGGGTTGCAATAACTGTACTAAATCATAAGTTCAGTATTGCATTTGGTGACCTGCTGGGAAAGACATTGAGTAAAGTAAACAATACTCAAATCAATTACTTTAGGCTAACATGAATAATGGATAGAGTTTAGGTTTCCACATTATTTTATTTATTTTTATTTTTTCCTGCTTTATCCCCTGAGCCACACTCCAGTCCAATAGGTGGGGGTAATGTGCCTTTAAGCCATATTGTAAAACAATGAACATCAAAGAAGAAGGAGGAGTTCCTTAGTGCCAGAACCATAGCTCTGCTTAGCGCAGCCTGAGAGCAGCTGTGGTCGGCACAGAGTTCAAGCGGGACAGAGGGCTTTGCGGGGACTGGGTTGAATATACGCGCGTTTTACCAGGGAATTGTTTGTCAAACGGGAGATTTGAAATATGGAGTGTGATGTAGCAGAAAGTTCAAAAAAGAAAAGGTAAAAGGGAAGTAGGAATGAAAGTGAAGAAGAAGTAGTGATGGCCAAACGAGGCTTCATGAGACTTCTAACCCTTCTGGACCATTGTATTGAAAATTGGTTCACTACTCGACGCTTCATTCATGCAGCACGTGGGTGACATCTGCTGGCATAATGGTTGGTGTACAGCCTTAAGGGTGGCACGGTGGTGCATTGGTTAGCGCTGTTGCCTCACAGCAAGAAGGTTGTGGGTTCGATTCCGGCCTGGGGCCTTTCTGTGTGGAGTTTGCATGTTCTCCCCGTGTTCGCGTGGGTTTTCTCCGGGTACTCCGGTTTCCCCCACCCACAAAAACATGCATCATAGGAACACTCCAACCAGTACCCCTGACCAAGGATCTGGCTTTAGAACTGGAGTTGGTCCCCGGGCGCTGCTCTGTGGCTGCCCACTGCTCCTAACTATAGGATGGGTCAAATGCAGAGGACAAATTACCCCAGGGGGTTCAATAAAGTGTATCTTATCTTGCAAAGGTGACGCTGACTCACCTTGCGTGTGCACTTTGAGTTTTGATGTATTGTGTAGATTACTTAAATAAAGCTGAAATCTAACTTCATTTTGCAAGTGTCTGTTGTTTTTCTTCCGTACCTGAATAATTCATATTATATTAGCCTATATTATATTATAACATTAATAACATCCACAGCCTGATTGAAGCCAGTAAATATTTGCTATGTCCAAAAACATGTTATAATTTATTCACCTCTGCCAAGGAGGTGTATGTTTTTGCCGGCGTTGGTTGGTTGGTTTGTCCGTCTGTCTGTCTGTCTCTTAGCAACTTTATGCAAAAAGTTATGAACAGATATTGCTTAAATTTTCAGAGAAGGCCAGAAATGGCACTAGGACCAATTCATTAGCTTTTGGGAGTGATCCGGGTTAGTGGTTAGGGTGAGGGTTAGAGTTAGGGCCCTGGGCAGAGGTGCTGCGCTCTCTGAGTACTGTTGTTATGTTTTTTGATGGTGCTTGGTGTATAGACTACTGGGTGTGCTTATGTCACTTAGGTATTTTTATTCAAAAATAATAGTTTCTCCACAGTAGATGGTTTCAGTCGATTTCTCTTTTTTGAGACAACTTCCCTAGCTTTGGAGAAGATCCTTTCACACGGCACAGAAGATGCTGGTGTCGCCAGGAACTGTTTTGCCAGGTTGAACAGGTTTGGGTATTGGGATTTGTGCATCATCCAGAAACCTAAGGGGTCTTGTGATCTGTCCAGAGGAGGAGTAGACAGATATTGCTGCACCTCCACGATGGCATCTGCAGTAGCATTCCTGGACTTTCTCGCATCTTCTGCATCTTTGTCAAGAAGCTTCCACAGGTCAAAGCTTGAAAATAAAACATTACAGGACATTTATAAAGTATATAAATAAATACAAATAAATATAGAAATTAAAATTATATTCGTAGTCTACCTGTGGAAGCTGCAGCAGGTTCTTGCTGTGCCGGTGTTGATGATATTGATGGTTCTGCGTCTTGGGATGCATTTCGGATTAAGGCAGCGCACACTGACTTCAAGCAGCGCACAGCTGCATAAGCATTTGCTGGATTGTGAAAGCCAAGTGTGTTAAACCTTGGATCCAATAAAGTTGCCAGCGAACATGCTCGTGATCTCTACTCCAGACAGTTTTTCAGTGAGTATCTGGCTGAGATTTAGTCCCAGTTGTTTTGCCATGTCATTTGTGGTTTGATTCATCATTTCATTTAGTGTATGTTTGAGCATACGAATTGGTGGGATTATTTTCGAGCCGGACACTCCTTGCTCTTGAGAAAGCTCAACTGCGGCCGCTTGAAATGGTGAGAGCATTCTCACACACTGGACTGTTGCTTCATATTCAGTGGCAGTCAACGGAGATAAATCCGTGGTCAGTGTTGCCAGAGCCGCTGCCACTGCATCCCTCTGCTCATACAGGCGCTGCAGCATCTCATAAGTGCTGTTCCAACAGGTCTCCACCTCCATTATTAGTTTAATGACAGGGCGTCCCATTTGCACCTGCACCTGCTGTAGTCTCTCCTTTGCTGTGGTGCTTGTTTTAAAGTAAGTGACCGTTTTCCTTGCTATTAATCTTATGTTGTCAAGGCCAGGAGTAGCATCCATGGACTTTTTTACAATTAGATTTAGGGCATGTGCAAGGCAGACAGCATGCCTGACTTGCAGAACATTTGCAGCAGCAATCATATTTGATGCTACATCAGTCACCAAGCATCTCACTTTGTCCTGTATTGTCCATTCTTCCATTAGCTCCCGACCAATTCCAGCAATATTCTCTGCTGTGTGAGACTTTTGAAAAGGGCATACACCCAAAAGGGTGGTGGAAAGTTTACCCTCACTGATATAGTGGTATGTGACAGCAAGATATGCATCCATGTTTATGGAGGTCCACATATCTGCTGTGAGGCTTAGCAATGCTGCCTTTGCCTTCTCCTTCTCTTCCACATACCGCTTCTCCACCATGGCTTTAACAGCCTGTCTAGAGGGGAGAATGTATGTAGGATCCAGTTTCGCCATCAATGTACAGAAACCTGGATCAGACACGACACTGAAAGGCTGAGAGTCTTTGACTATGAAATCCACCAGTGCCTCATCAAGCCATTCCTTCCTGGCCCCTAAAATAGTAAATAGAAAACAGATTAAACTAACTTAGCTTTCCGTAGAAATATAGTAGGCTTACAGGGAAAAAATGTAAACGTTATGAATATAAACAGTTTTTATCTTGTGTGAGAGCGGCTCCGTCACTGACTGCGCACGCACATCTTTCCACTGCATCGGCAGCACGCACACCAGTGACCTGCGCGGAGTGCAAGATGTACACCATGTCCGCACCGCAGCCGCAGGTTGCTTCTCCACATCCGCAGGAACTAGATCAAAATCCACACCGCTCTGCGGTGCGGTCGCGGAGTTCGCGGCTCCACCGCATTATCCCCTCACCGCACTTGTGAGCGGTGTGGATTTTGATCTAATTCCTGCGGATGCGGTGCAGATGTGGAGAAGCAACCTGCGGCTGTGGTGCGGACATGGTGTACATCTTGTACTCCACGCAGGTCACTGGCGCACACACATACAGCGCGTTGGGCCGCGCATAACCATACGCTATGTCATGTTTCCAACCTCTTTCCATGTTCGTTTAAATACGCCGCAACCTGCACTCATTGTTCCAAAACAGTAACAGTAGTGCAGTCTAGGGCGCACACTTGTTTGTAATACTGCCTGGAACAGACAAACAAATATTACACTCACTTACTTGATGGACAGGTCATCCCAGTAGCATTAACAGGTTGTCTGTTTTCATACTTGGCTCTGTAATGCCTCAACATTGATGACATGTTGTTGTTATACGTCAGCTGCTGAGGACAGAGCAAACACTGTACCTGTGAAATCACAATGAGATCTCTGCGTGATTTATTCTTCCTATGTTTATTCAGAGCGCCGTAAACTACGTTGTTAATCGTATGAATATCAGACTTGACAATAAGGCTCTTGAAAATTTAATTTACCTTATTGGGTGGCACTATTTCAAAATGTTCCCACACTTGAGACCGTTTCCTAGATGGCTCCATAGCGAGGCAATACAAAAAGTTTTGCCCGGAGGAAAGTTGCAGAGCACTGTTTCATCCATCTTATTACCTTTGAATCGCGCCAATATTTCAAAGCTCTGCCTATTGCACCAAACCGGTCAGCTGATTCAGTCTAAATGAAGCAGTGAAGTGGTTTGAACATCATCAGTCACGTGGTTTCCCCCCGATATGACACATGCTCCGGCACAGTGCGTCAGAAAAATACCCTGTCGAGTTTGAAGCGAGCTTCGGAGCTTTGGTATCAGAGGTAACATCACTGGGAAGAAGAATATGTTGTGGAAATGAAGGCTGCATCAATAGGATATCGTGCAAACGGTCTTTTTAGTGATATGCACGAAGTAGGAAGATTTATAAAAAGTGAAATCGGAGACGTAAAGGCAGTGAGAGCAACACGGGGTGGAACGGTAGTAGTGGAATGTAGAAGTAAGAGGCAATATGATAAATTATTGAAAATTACAATGTTTGATCTGACAAATGTGGTTTGTTTTCCAATGAAAAGAAACACGAACATTAAGGGGGTTATAAGCGGCATGCCGCTATCAGTTGAGGCCAGTGATTTTTTGAATATGGAAGGAGTTTGTGAGGTAAGGAGGCTGAAAACACGAAGGGAAGGAATGGAGAAGGAAAGTCTATCCGTTCTATTGGAATTTAAATCTGAGTTACCTGAGAGAGTATTTTTAGATTATGTCAGTTATCGGGTTCGAGAATATGTAAGGGTACCACTCAAATGTTACTGGTGTCAGGAGTGTGGACATGTGGCTGCAGTATGTAGGAGTAGGATACATAGATGTAGAAAATGTGGGAAAGAAGATTGTTTGGAGGATGAGTGTACTACTAAGGCTCAGATAGTGTGTTTTCATTGTGGGGGAAACCATGAAGTTGGAGCATTGGAGTGTGAAAGAAGGAAAAAAGAGCAGGAGGTGGAAAGAATAAGAACACAGGGGAGAATGTCATATGCAGAGGCAATTAAGAGGGTGCAGGTGGAAAAAAGAAAAGGTGGGTAAAGAGCAGGCTAGGGGTTCAGGAAATTGAAAAACCAGATGAGAATTTCATAAGAATGGAAAGAAGACACTTTTTGGCTTTTATTGCAATGGTGGTGATATGTTCTAGAGACCTTGAAAGAAGAACAGAGAGAATCAAAATGGTGATAGATGCAGCACAGGGGAAGGGGAAGAAATTCAAGGGATTTTGGAGAGAGGGTTTGGCGGGGGTCAGATGACAGAAAAGTGAAGTTTAAGAATGGGGATTTAAGAAGGGGATAAGATAGATATTTGTTTTTTTTTTTTTTTTTAACTTTAACGAACTTTCTTGATACGGTTAAGTTAATTTTTTTTTCTGCGGAGGGCAGTAATACGCCTAGTAGCGACCGCTGTACCGTGAATCTCAAAAGAAGAAGAAGAAAGAAGTAGAAGAAGAGCAGCTGTGCTTGTTGTCTCGTTAGCTGTGGTACCGTCACCAGTTGGCTACATAGCTAGCTAGATACGAATGAAATTAACGACAGTCTTTAGGCTTTACATGGACAGACGATTGTAACTTAGCTAAAGCATCTGCTCGGTTTCTGGCGAAGTGACTACGGCTTGTAGTTAGTAAATTTTAGCCATCACGTTATCTGAGAACTGACAATACATCGGGTAACTGCTCACAACG